GGCTTTAGACACAAGTGCCGTCCTGGGATTCGCCAACGGCAGCTGTGAGATCGCGTACCTCAGCCTCTGAATCCCACGACCGAAATGTATCAAAGGACTTTAAGAGGGACCCCTAATAGGGACCTTTAATCCCATTACCTTAAATAACCATTGTATAGTCCTTATATACCTCTTATACAGCCAGGTAGTCTCCATGTTAACCCCAATAACCTGCAAGGGTCCCTGTTAAGGGTCCCTCCTAAAGCCCTTAGAATGTAGGATTGATTCATCCCGGCTTCTGCCAATGCTCTGCTGCATGAAAAAGAGGGTTTTCACTAGGAACCAAAAGAGCCCAATGAAGCCCCTTATAAGGTAAGGTATATTCCTTACTTCTTACCATACCCCTAAACCCTAAACCCTTACAGAAACGCTCATAGATCCCTTTAAGCAACCCTAAGAGGTGTATTCCTGAATTAGGGGTTATTCGCCTCTCCACGGCATCCTTCTTCGGTGCTCTTAGGTTTTATAGGGGCTTTTCGGGTTTAGGGGTTTGGGGATTTAGGGTTTAGGGCTTGTAGGGTTTAGGGTTTAGGGGTTCAGGGGTTTAGGGTCTAGGGCTTATAATAATAGGGTGTAGGGTTTAGGGGTGTAGGGTTTAGGATCTAGGGGTTTACCCTAAACCCTTGTAGGGCTCTTCGGGTTTAGGGTCAAAGTGCGGGGCTTGCCGAGATGGTTTGCTGGTATGCCTTCGGATGAAAGCTATCTAAAAACCTTGTAGAAACATCTGTATATATGTCTGTATATATATATATATACATATATATATATACAACATGTGTATGTGTGTACATATATATATATATACGTATTTGTGTGTGTATATATATATATATTGTACACATGTGTACATGTGTGTATTTGTCTGTTATATGTCTATAGCATGGGGCAAGGGCTTGCTCAACTCTAAGCCATGTGGAGCCGCTGACGTAAACCCTGAAACCCTGAAGCGCAAACTCCGTAATATAGGGGCCTCAATAATTACGGAGACTATTTTGGGGTTTAGGGTTTAGGGTTTAGGGTTGGGGGTTCCTTATTATAACTATATGGTACATTGTACCCCAAAACCCTATTCTAATTATTAAGGCCCCTATATTACATTAAGCCCCTTTGCCAGAGTCGCCTAGTCCCGCTCTTTGCTTCGGCTTGGGGTCCAGGGCTTGGGGGGAAGGCTGGGGGCTTCGGGGTTGAGGGAAAGGGCCTTCATACTTGCGGCTTAGGGTTTTGGGGGTTTAAGGGTTTGGGGTTTAGGGTTTAAGATTGAGGGCTTAGGGTTTCGGGATTAGGGCTTTCAAGTTCAGGAGCTGTGCAGGCATGCTCTTCGGGTTTTTAGCTTCCATGATTGTCAACATGTGGTAGTGGAGCAAGGGTTTTGGGCCAGGTCACGTTGCTGGGCTGCCATGTTGTGCAAGCAGCTCATCCGATGAATGTCTCTGGATGCAGGAAATGTAGGGCGGTGGCATGAGTTTGGGTAGCGACTCCTCATTGCATGCTAGCTTACCCCTCCCAACCGAGCTTCTAGACCAGCGAAACCTGCTTAGGTTCATGCAAGCTGGTGCAGCTGTGCTTCCAACAAACATCTTCTCCGAAAAGCAGCGTTGAATGATTATTCGATGTCAACGAACTATGCGCCGCATCAGTTGCAGAGCTTCTTGTGCAAAGATCTAGGCTTTACGGGTTAAGACGAGTTAAGACAGGAGCTAGGTCCCTAGAGCCACATTCCGTGCACTTCCCGCTGCTGTTCATGAGCCATCCTGGGTGGTCGAACTGCATTTGCCGGGGCCCTCGGTTTAGGGTTTAGGGTTTAAAGCCTACGAGAAGAGGGGCACAAAAAACAAAAAAAAACTCAACCCTTCAGGGGTGTGGAAACCCTAAACTCTACAGCCTAAACCCTAAACCCTAAGACCTACAGCTTAAACCCTAAACCCTTAACCCTACAGCCTAAACCCTAAACCCTTCAGGGGTGTGTATGATGAAGGCAGGGAGCGGCTCCTTTCAGAGCTTCCTTTGAGGGTCAGCGCTGGGGTTTACGTAGGTCTTGCATAGCTTCTAGGGTTCTTTGCGAAGCTTCCTCAAAGAGGGGTTTAGCGTTTATGGTTTAGGGTTTAGGGTTTAGGGTTTAGCTTCGTTGGCTTTATGTACTTGTTGAAGGTTCCTTTCCTTTTTGGCTTTTAGGGCCTTTAGGAATCTTCAGAACTTGACAAATACCCACCTCCGATCAAAGGGGCGAAGCCCAGGGAATCTGCACATGTTGGTGGTTTAGGGCGGTCGGTGTTTAGGGATTCCCAAAAACCCTAAACCCTAATAGGGATTTAGGAGGCCCAAATCCCTTGAATTGCAAGCCGGAAACCCTTAAACTATGCGGTCCTAAGCCGCAGTGCAGACTCAACTCACGTCTCGGACTACCCTTTCTTCTTCTTAAGCCATACATACTGCTACAGACCATTGTTATATTTATATTGCTACCATTTGCTCAGCACTATGTCTCATAATATACTTATCCAGACTCTTTTCTCCCACAAACCCAGAGGGTCCAAGTTATAGTATAGTATCTACTTTGGGGGCCCCAATACCTACAAAGTAGCTACCATACGGCTGATGGACAAAATCCTGCATGACCTTAAGGACCCTAAACTATGGGAATTATGGTATATTCCTTATAGTGGGTAATGCAGGATTTTGTCCATCAGCCGTATGACTACTTGGACCCTTTGGGAAAGCCATGAGAGGTACGTGACGATAAAACATGGCGTTGCTGGAGGATCTCGCGGCTTGCCAGGGTTTGGGGTTGTAGGGCTTTGGTTTAGAGTTTAGGGTTTGGGGTTTAGGGTTTAGAGTTTAGGGTTTAGGGTTTAGGGTTTAGGGAGGGCTTTGGTTTAGAATTAGGGTTTGCGGGGTAGGGAGGGCTTTGGTTTAGAGTTTAGGGTTTGGGGTTTAGGGAGGGCGTTGGTTTAGGGTTTACCTAAACCCACAAAAAAAAGTGAAATAATGGCCCAACACCTTTGAAAGGCCAGTGCTCTACAGACTTTTGGGGCAGGCAGGGTTGGGGGCTTCTTTACAGGGTTCCTTTTAGGGGTTCCTATAAGGCCTTCCTTCAAGGGCAAAGAAGATCAGTCCTCATAGGGTTTACGGGGCTCTTCGGGTTTACAGCGCTTGGAGGATTTAGAGGGTTCAAAAGTGGCGGATCTGGGGATTTGTCTCGTTGAATCTTCGCCTTGATTTCAAAACTCCCAACATGCATGCACGCGAAGAATTTCACCCGTTTTTTTCAAAGGGCCAGCACATCCAGATCTTTAGTGTTTACCCATATAGGCCCTAAAGTAGTTCCTTTTTGGGGTTCATACATAGAATCCTGTAAGGTAACCCCCCAAAAAGGAACTACTATGGGGCCTATGGCTTGTTTAGGGGTAATCCTTCATGGAGGGCTTTGCTGCTCAGGAGTCTGCGGCCCCCTACACCCCGAACCCCCAGGCTGAACCCTATCTTAACCCCAAATAACCTACCTTTTTAAGGACTTGCATAAGGAAATAAGGGTAAGGAGCCCTGAAAAGGTAGGTTCTGCAGGGTCCAGGTAATCTCTAAATCTCTAAGCCCTAGACACCCTCAACCACCAAAATCAAGCCATAACTCCCCGGAACCGCCAACATTACCAAATTCCCGCCCTGGTCGGAAACCCAGGCCGTCCTTCCGGGATGTTTCGTGATCGGGACATCCAGTTGGTGTCGCACTGCGTATATCGCCTCGCCATTCTGCTGTATGGGGTGCGACTGGGGTCGAGATGCTGCCTTGCTACGGCATGGCATGGTGCTAAACCCTAAACCCTAAACTGCGCCGGCGGACAGATAGTGTAGGGGCCTTAATCACCTATAATATTTCTTGGGGGATCCTTATTATAGTTATAGTATAGTGGGACCAAAAACCCTATTCTAATTGTTAAGGCCCCTACATTACCGTTTGTTTCTGACATCCAACCGGTCGAGTGGCTCGTTGAAGAAGATCCGTGCTCCCACCACTACTTGAGAAACCGTCGCAACCATCAAGACAGGTTCAGGGTTTAGGGGGGAAGCAGACCGCTTGGGGATTTGGACTAGGGCTTAGGGTTTTGTGTTTTTGAAGGATTGCAGAACCTGTTAGCATTCAGCACGAGTACAGAAGAAGCAGAAATGGGCTCGGCTGTTCTTCAACTTGATGTGGAGGGCATGGCATCGCGCGTGTCCTGCGCGAACTGTGAGCTCATGAATCCTCCTCCGAGACGCTGGCTGAGCTTCGCGGCCGCTCCGTAAGATGTCGGACATCTTGATCGGCAGTCCCATGCTGAAAGACGAAGGCTTGGAGACTCAACAAAGAGTTTGTGGAGACCCCACAAGCAGGCAAGCCGGAAACGATACCCTTAGCCACGTTTCGGACAAGGCCCTTAAAGAAAGCCTGCTTCGACGATACATTTCAGAGCACTTCGTACTAACCTGGGAAAGCTTTCCCAATCCGCAGACCTGGCAGCCTTAGTATCGAGATGTATGATTGGCAATGGTTCCTGGGTCCACTGGCATTCCAAGAGTTTTATTTTCGTACTGACACAGTAGGCGTACCTGTTAGTAGCTTCCCCATCTCCTTGGAAGAGGAGGAGCAGTATCACGTAGGTTATACTTAGGCTGATATGTCCCCGGATCGGCGCTGCTGTACTTGTTACCCCTCTTCTAACCTCACAGATAATGTCCCAAGATCCTAAAGCATAATTGAATTACTGTAACAATTAGTCAAAAAGAGGAATGCCAAATCCAGCAGACTGTAAGGCTCAGCAAGACATGGCTCCCTCAAGGTCGATTCCACCTTTTTACGCGAACAACCAACGTGCTGGTTCCTGCCGATACAGCAATCTTCTGCAGACATGCCCTATGGCATCTGTCAGATTAGACTACCTTCAACACGACAACATGCACTTGCCGGCATGCTAAAACTGAAAACACTCATGGCCCAAGGCGCATACTTCGTAGCCTTGCCTGAAAGCCCAAACGTCGGACCATGCATTGACAAAACTGCCTTTCTGACATAGAAGTCTGGTCAAGACAGAACACAATCAGCTCCCAAGCCGCAGTCCACAGCAAAGCAACCACCACAAAAGCACACCACGCCAACAAGGTCCTGTCAACTACTATTGGCTCATACACAGTCAGCTCGGTTGCCTCACTTCCAACGACTGCCTGCGACAACACCATCATTGCAACCAAAACCTTAAACCCATGGGAACTAGGGGCCAAAGCGCTGCTGCTGCCGGAAGAAGTGCTGTGCTGCTGCTTACCCAGCTCAGTCAGGATCTCCTCAAGCGGCATGAGTCCCGTCATCTGGGCCAACGAACGCAACCTGATAGACGAAAGAGGCTTTGTCAACATATCTGCCAACTGTAAATCTCCAGGCCAATGCTCCAGCTCCAAGTCCTCTGCTTGCAGTCGTTCGTAGATCCATCCTGCCTTTATTCGTAAATGTCGTGTTCGCCACGAGCCTGAACCTCGCTGTATTGCTACAGACGAGGTACTGTCGGTACGCAGCCTCGATCGCATCTTGCCCAGGTTCAGCTCGGAGAGAAGCGCTTCCGCGCTGAGAAGAGCCAATGCTCCCTCCACACTGGCAGCAAGCTCGCTTTCAGCCGTCGACAGCGTTATCGTGCTCTGGCGAGCAGATCGCCGCAGATCGCCAGTTAATAGGCGCCTGTCCTATTCGTCAGCAGCCACCCCGTATGGGAACGTCCTCCATCTGGTGCATATGATGCGTCTGTCCAAGCGATGAGCTCCTTGGAGGACGCTCGGATCCATAAATGCTGCTTGGACGTGCCCTGGAGGAAGCCAATACATTTTTTGGCAATTGCTGCGGAGCGTCTTGGCGCCCTGGCGCTTAGAGAGCTTATAAGGCTGGATGCGTAACTTACATCTGGTCGCGTACGCTGCGCCAACCATAATATCTCACCGGCCAGTTGCTGAGCGGCCTTCAGCTCATCCGACGTGAAAACTGCTTCCTCGGGCTCAATCACGAACGAGGCCTGCTCCTTCGCGACCGGGATCAGGTCTCTCTTGGTTGCTGGTATTGAATGAATCCGCGTCAGTTCTCGGATATATGGCTCCTGATTCAATGCAAAACCATCATCAACCTTCACGATCTCTATGCCCAAGAATCGTATGCCACCATCGGAGGCCCACGACAATTCGCTGGTGTCCCACAACTTCCTCACTGCCCTTGAGACCGCCTTGATAATGTCCGGAGTAGAACAAATCAGCAAATCGTCAACGTAAATAACAACCAGGCCAACCAAAACTGTATCGTCCAATAGTCTCCACCAGCTCCCTTCAACACGGCATTGAAGCAGTTTGATTCTCTTTTCCCCGACGACGATGTTCAGCTGGGCCATTTTTTCATCCCTGAATTCACCCCACCAGCGAGGAGATTCTCTGAGGCCATATACGGCATGCGTAAACTCCCATAGTTCCTTTTCTCCACATAGACCCGCTCTCACCAAAGCTCGCGGTGGCTGTCCAAGAATCCTCTGCTTACACTGAACTTCACTCAACGGAGTCTGAAGAAACGCTGCTGTAACATCAAGGACTGCAGCATCCCAACCATTCAAACTTGCCACCGACAATGAGGATCGCACCACTTCGGCCGGAGCCGCCCCGGCATAGGTCTCTTCACCGCTGTCTGCCATCATGTTACCACAAGCCACAATCCTTACCTTGCGTCTGTACAGCTGGCCCTCTGCAATGGCTTCCTCAGATGGCGAGGCGGATCTTCTGGCTCCTCGCCATCGACTGGTAACTCTTCGCCATCCGGAGGTGCAGGATCACCAACTGGTTCTTGGGAGTCTTCGTAATCGAAAGCATCTTCACCTGGAGGTTCGGTTGCATCAAGCTCTCCTGGTTCATAATCCACTCCCACACCTCTGCCATCATCTACAAACGTCTTTGGGATAGTGAGCTTGGCAACGAACATGTACTTGTAAGGCTTCGGGAAGGCTCCTCGCGCATCTGCGTCTAGCCCTGGTACTTTGAGTGGCCCAGACACGTCTGCAGAAAGTACGAAACAGCTAGGATGTTCTACGCGAGCATGCCGACGACCAGTTGCCCCCGCTGTCACACAGGTCATACAGTCAGGGCGGAAAGGCAAGTGACCTCTTCTCACATGTTCCTTCCATTGTTCCGCCGACATCCGTAACATCCTCGCCGACAACCTCTGCTCCCTGACTGCAATAGACACCACCTCCGAGAACTCCTTGGTCCACACTGACGGCGGGGCTCTTACTGCCGGCTGCGCATCTCGTTGTATCCTTCCACGCAATCCATGTAGATGCCGGAGAGGGAGATTCGTACCGACCGTGGTCTGTCGCGACAAAGCCTTTCCCAAAGACGACATGTCGAAGCTAAACGTGCTCAAGCCAGCTTCTTCCTTGTACTGAATCCACAAACCCGTCCTCCAGAAACTCACGGAATCTTTCGCCAACGGATCTGTGAACAACATGTAGGATCTCGGGTCTCTAGGCTGCTCCAACAGAAAGCCCACTTCCTTTACGTCGTTCGGCTCAGGCGGAAAGGTGCATCTCCCAGCGGTGGCTAAAGCGTGCAAGTAAATCATCCTCACAAACAAGCCCGTGTGCTTATTCACCAAGTGCACGTCCTGCTCTGATTGTCCATACCACCCACCATAGAGACAGTCCGGACTCCTTAACGGCTCTGGTCCCGGGGTCATATTACGCCTCAGCATGAAGGTGTTCTGGGGTGGTCCTCCAATAATTGATGCAATTCTCCCGGTTCGTGCAGCCCACTCCAAAGCCCTCCAAACTAGCGGATCACGTACATCATGTGACTTTCCCCGCTCAAGGTCCAACTCCAGCACCGCAAAGCCCTGTCTTTCTAGGAACATCACCTCCTCATTCGGAGTCTTTCCTGCATAGAGGTGCGCAACCCACTGCTTCGACGACCATAGCTTCTTTCTCGTCTTCCTGTTCAGATGCTGTAGTCCCCGCAGTGCATCCCACCCATTGGATATAGGGTCTGCCTCTGAAAGCCCATACAAAGACTCCGAAGGCAAGTCTTGGAAAAACGATGCAGAGTGAATCGCCATCAAAGCTTCCGAGCCGATACCAGAGCGGCAATAGGAAATCAAGTGATCAAACCATGACTTGTTCAGCGACATCGCGGACTCCCTGACCATGGTCTTTGTCGCTGCGGTAGCCGAGCGTAATGCTGCAAGCTTCTGGTCTTCAATCCGCGAGATCAACTCCAAGGCCTGGCGCTCAGTGATTTCAGGGCACCCATCACGAACCCGAAGCGTTATTGTCTCATCCTCTCGGCTTGTAAGTTTGCAGCGGGAGCCATGCCACTCCAACTTGTATCCCAGCACTCCAACCAGTGAACCCAGTGGGACAATAGGAGACGACGACGCTCTTCTGGTAGCACCCGTTGCTGGTACCAACAGGGTTCCTGCGGCATTCATCCTCAACTCCACAACTTCACCTCCTGCAAGATGAACCACAACTGGATTCGCCTCATTCCATTCATCACCAGTGCGAGCTCGACGAAGAGGATGTGTTGCACCCGAATCTACCAACGCATAGGCTTCTCCATCCAAACCAGCTGGTGATCCTCCATGAATGCTCATCACTCTCATTGAAGGCGCCTTTGGCTCCGACACTGGTACTCCTCCTGCCACCTTGGCTGCTGCTTGGAGTAGCGCTTCCCATGACAACACCGGCTGACCTGATGCAACAGCACCGTCACTGGCCTTCGTCGGTGAAATCTCACCATCCGGTTCGACCTGAGCAGCATTGACTGAGGCGGAAGTCGGCGATGTCGGCGCTGACGAAGACTGTCGATCACCCTGAGCTCGAGTAGTCGTTCCCGACCTTGAAACCTTAGTCGGACAATCACGCTGTCGATGGTCCTCCGCCCCGCAGCACAAACACTTCTTCGCTCGTTCCATTTTGCTCAGTCCCTCGACGCTGTGAAGAAAAGGACATTTCCCTCCACGTCGACATCCAGATGCCTTGAGGAAGTACTTGCAGGGCCTGGCACTCGGAGAGGTAGTAGTAGAGGTCGCTGTTCCCGGCGTGATAGTCCTCACCGTAGGTCCTGCTGTAGTTCTTGAGATCACGATATTCTCAATCTCAGCCTGAAGGTGCTGCTGGTACCGAACCACGTCCTCGATCTTGGGCTGCCCGTCAATCCGATACGTCGATCGAACCAACTGAGTCCTAAAAACTGCATCCGGGTTCTCGGCTAGGAACTTCGACGCTGTATTAGTCAGACTCCGGGCTAGCAATGAACCGTCCGGCACCGTCATGTTCATGTCCTTGCATCTCTGTAGCCACCTGGGCCAACTCCGAAGCATAGTAAGACATCCTGTCACGTCACTTGGTGCCTCGGCCCCTTGCAGGTGCTTCAACACCACGCCTCGTTCAGCAGTTCCACCCGGCTGGTACATCGTGTAAACTCTGAACAACATCAGCACCGCTGATTGAGTTGATCTTCTTGCAATAAGATCAGCCTTGGTGACCTCCGAGAACGATTGCATCATCAGTGCACAAGCTCGCAAATTCACTCTTGTCCACCGTCCCGAGGCAAGTCTCTGATGATCCACCGGAAATATTTGTAGACGCTCTAGTGGAGTAGCTGCAAGCCATCGCCCGTAGGTTTCTGTAACCATCTCCCTCACATACTCCCACCAGTCCCCAGACCCAGATGAAAGATCCTGCATTGACGTAGTAATTTGCACCAACCAATCCTGCAACTGAAGACCACTTGTCTCACTCAAGGGAGGCGCAAGCTCTGGAAGCGCGACTGTAGCCGTCTTGACCACCTCAGGGGAATCTTCTGCATTGCCATCCTTCTTCATCGCCTTGGCCTGCAAGTCCTGAAGCTGCTGAACTCCCACTGCCAGCGCCTCCAAGATTCCCTGCGACGGAACAGGAGCTGACGATGATGGTTGCCCTTGGTCGGGGGCTGAGGACACAGTCGGCCTTGAAGCGCTCTCTTCCTCTCCACCCGCCGGTGGAGTTGAAGACCTCGCTGCCCCAGCCTTGGCCTTTGACCCGAACTTACCCGATAGACCTTCCCATATAGCGGACCATGGATCGGAATGACCCTGCCCTCCACCTCGAAGTCCAGGATCCCCTGCCCCTCGTCCGGGACGCTCAGGTACTGGAGCAGGAATTGGCGCAGGTACACACTCACCTTGCTGCGCCGAGGCTCTCATAGCTGCTTGCTGGTGTAGTGCTTCTTGTAACCGCGCATTCTCAGTCTCTGCTGCAGACAAACGATCCAGCAACGATCCCAACTGCCGCTGTACCTCTGCCTGTATTGCTTCTGCTGGCACGCTGCTGCTGGAAGGGGTTAGGGCATTAGGGTTTCTAAGTTGACCCCTATACCCACTAACACCATCGTCCACCACATCTGCAGAGCCTAGGTCCAATACCCTTCTCGCAAGCCGCATTGGAGGCTTCGGAGGTGATGGAATCGGACTAGGCAACCAGCTGGGAGGCGCCGGCTGAGCAAACAGCTCACCCAATCTTGAAACCCATCCTTGCCAAACACCCGTTGTCGGCTGACTTCCACCGGAATAGGAAGTCCGTGATCTCGGGGTAAAAAACCCCCTGCTTGCTTCTTGTTCTCCAGAGCCTCGTTCTGCAGGAAACAACCCAACTGCCGGGATCGGGCCTGCTGACCCGACAGCTTCTTCAACGCGTTGCGCGCTGGTTTGCGAGCTGTCCTGCGGTCCCACGCCACGACTCTCCTCCACTGGTTGCACTACCCCGCCATCTGTGGCTCCTGAGTCTGCCGCAGCAGACGCTTCCAGCTGCGTTGATGGCCGAGGACCTTCCACCCCCCCATCGTCCGGAGCTTGCTGTAAAGGCGCCCGGCCTACTACCAAAGCACCATCGTTCGAATTTCCAGCCTTCGGACCTGCAGATTCTGAAGCCGGCTGCTCCACAGCCGACCCATAGCCTACAGTCTGACCTCCAGCTGCACGCGGAGTCCCATTCATAAGCGCATCTGAAGATTGGGCGCTCATAACCTCAAAAAGAGGAATGCCAAATCCAGCAGACTGTAAGGCTCAGCAAGACATGGCTCCCTCAAGGTCGATTCCACCGTTTTACGCGAACAACCAACGTGCTGG